GGAGAGGGAGGAGCCATTGCGCTGAGCGTGGAGGGGGAGGAGGTGAGATTGTCTGGTGATGATGATCGGTGGCGGCGTCGCGACCCCTCCTGGTACTGCCAAGTCGGCTGCTGCGATCGACAGCGAAATGGTGCAGGTCGACGGCATTGGCAGTGGTAGTGTCAGTGGAAGTGCTAGTGGTAGTGGTAGCCCTGCGACGGGCGCGACCACCACGCGTCTGGCGAACAGCAATAATAGTAACAATAATAATAACAGCGGCAACAACAACAATAACGGGGAAATTAGCAATAACAACAACAATGATGGACATGGGGTCGCGAATTGCGCCGGCACAACCACCTCGGGCGCGAGCGACAAATTTTGTTGTCAGGATGAAGACGTCCCCGTCAGCACCGGTGTCGCTCGACCTTGGGAACCACCGTCACCGACCTTCTCCCAGACGAGATCGCATCTGCTGCAGATCCATCCACCGCATCATCATCAGCATCCGGCGGCGCATCATCATCAGCAGATGAACGTACCGGTCTCCCTCATCGATGGTAAGTAGGAATATTCAGATACTCGTAAAACTCGAATCGAATCGAACCCGATTATTAATCATCGAGTCTCATTCCACAATATCTTTCACGAGTCTCTTTCTTTTGTCGAGTTTTTCTCACACAGTAGCTCAGTTAACCGATTTGCAGTCATCGAATAAATGATCGTTTAAAACAGCTACTGTGTGTTTCATATGCGTGCAAATATTATCCCATTAATCGTTTGATAACAAAGAAGATCTTCGGGTGCATTGAACTCGTTAAAATAATTTCTTCACGCTGAACGTTCGGAATGAATCATGATAAGGCAAATATTTTCATCGAATTGCATGATTTCACTTTGATTTGTCGCAATAACTATATTCGTTATAGGCTGAAGCGAATTCTGATACCCGCTAACAGTAATACGCAATCGCTTCTGTTATAGAAAATATTCTGTATGTTTCCATACTAATTATAATACCATTCTTCAGTTTCGGATATCTAAGATAAGAGGAACGCGCGTGTGTAAGCAATGAAGAGCTAATTAATTCCGTTGTGCCGCAATAAATCGATAATTACGGGATACGTCACACGCAGCGTCACTATTTACAATCGTGTTTCATGCACTTTATTATAACAAAATTGCACGACGGCGTTATTCAAATTTAAAACCGTTGTTTAACAGACCTCATCCGAACACCTGAATACACTTTCGGGACTATCGAAGATAGAGACAATAATCGATGAAATCGAAATAACGAGTACGTGAAAACGACGAGAATTCTGTGAGATCAACGAGGTAAAATAATATTTCTGATAACATGGATATTGTCAAATTTTCTTTGAATTATTATCATATTGATTTTTAAGATAAATCTCGACTTTTTTTCACCGAGAAATGCTGTTAAGTAAATTAAATTCCAAAAACAGTGTCTTGTTTTATTAATTATATATTTTGTTATATATATATTGTATTATTAATTATAGTAGATTATATGATATCGTTATAATATAATTATATGATATATTTTGCTCATATCATTAAGTAATATACATATTAATTTTTATCTCCAGTCATGAAAGACAATCTCTAATAAAGTCAACAAAATAAAATATGGATTGAATCAGGTTTCTTATTTGCATTCAAAGGTCGCAGAAGAGTGAAAAATCATCTTCATTATGCAACTAATAAACATTTAATCATTATACGTTCCTGATAGCGTGAAAGTTAAACATGCGATACGCGCAACGACAAATGAATGTATCGATTATATCTGTTTCTCGATGAGAGATAACCAAGTAACTAATTGAATTATGAATCGCCTCACGATCTTTCGCCGCGCGAACCTTTCGATGCAGGATGGCAACCGCAATTAACATCGAACACCTGTACAGCCGAGCACCTGTACAGGGCTTGTCTCCCAGCTAACAATAATTGGACCATTTCACGCTTCTTAAAACACATAAAAATCTCGGAAAGAGAGAGCTTTATGAAATTTTAATCAACA